TTTGAGATTACCCTGACATGAAAAGGCTTTACCACACTGGTTGCATTCATAGGGTTTCTCTCTGGCATGCGTTCTTTTATGTCTCTGCAGTTGATTGAGCTGTAAAAAGTCTATATCATACTGGTTACATTCATAAGGTTTCTCTCCAGTATGTGTTACTCTATGTCTTTGGAGATGACTGGGTTGGGATAAAGCTGTTTCAGATTGATTACATTGATAGGGTTTCTCTCTGGTATGTGTTCTTTCATGCCTGCAAAGATAAATGGTACACGTGTAAGCTTTACCACATTCATTACACTGATAAATATTTTTATCTGTATGAATTAATTTTACAATTTGGTCTCATTGAAAAGGGGTACCAGATATTAAGGTTTCATCACTTTGCATTCGTAATTTTCCCTTTCTTAATGGGTTGTTGAGTCTTTGTAGACATCTGTGACAGTAGGGGCATTTATTATATGGCTTAACCTCTGTATGAGGTTTTTCTTAAATGTAAAGAGAAATGGAGACCATTCTGATATTAACCACACTGATTGAATTTATACTTTTCCTATACACTGCATCAGTAAAGTGAATCAAAACACATTAATTTCCACGTATTTTTGTATTCATAGAAATTGTCCACAGTGTGAGATTGTGGATGTATTCCCAACGATGTTGAAAAACTAATTAATTTTATTTAATTTATTAGTAGTCCCCCACTTAGAGTAGATTTTCTGAATGAGAAACAAATTTTTAAAATGGCTTATTAATAATTCATAATTAGGTAAGCAAAAATGAAGTACAGATTTACTATCAGACTCTGCTGTACATATGCATTGGATATGTTAGAACACATTAACCTGTGGTAATGTATACGTGAATGCCACTTGGGAAGAGTAGGCATTGCTGGGTTCGTTTCAAGGAAAGCCTCTACAAAGAGGTGATCCTGGAGAAACTACAAGATTCTCACTGTTATTCCTTGAGCCATGAGTTCATTTTTTTACTTTTTCACTAATAATTTCTTCATTATTAACTAATTAATATTTAATAATATAGTAACTGTAAACTTGTATCACATTCAGAAAGTATAGTCACAGTGGGAACTACTACATATCTCATTGTTCTGGGAGAGAGAGAGGTACATTGCTATTTTCAGGATCCCTATGCTTATGAGGCTTGTATCCACTTTGACCAATATTACACTACTTCAAAGATAAATAACAAATAAAAGATTTTTCACATTCACCGATTGATATTTTGATCCTCATAGACATGTACTATATGGATTAATGTTTTTCCACAACAACATTTTGAATCCCATAAAGGGCCCCTCTCTCTAAAGTTAGCGATGGTTTAAAAGCATGTAAGGAACAAATGCTTTACTCTGGACTATTTGCAAACTGGAAGATATTGGACATATACTTATCATCCAATGTGTATACATTTTGCATTGTTTATGTTGTAGGAGATGATACAGATTGATAGTTCAACATCATAGCTCTCATGGGGCTATGGTTCAACTGGTAACATCTGTGACTGAACTCTTGTCAGCTTTCTTGGAGGAATTCCATTCAGATTTTGGATTTGTAAGAATTTTGCAATCATTTATACACTTGAAGTAGTGCATTTTTTTCTTAGTTTGTTTTCCACAATGATGCTTTTCTTTAACATTCCTGGAACACATTGACATTTACTTAGAGGCATTCAGAAAACTCATATTCACATCTCTTGCACATGAAAATTACCTTCTAAGTCTTCCAGAACTTTGACTGTGTTTTTCAATATTATGGTCTTCCCAATTGAAGCCTAAGATATGTATCAGAAAATGTATGAGATATTATTCATAATTAGGCATACTTTAAGTTATTATCTTCAGTGAACTTTAGATCGAAGCCTGATCTATGCATATCATTCTTCAACCTCCTCAATTACAGTTACAGGAGAACATCATTAACAACAGCAGCAACGGCAGCAACAACAGTTGTGCCCTTGTTTTAAAAACTGAAAATAAGTTCAATCTTACCTACAGCAAACAGGTTCCTGTAGGTCTCCAGCATCACATCTTTGTAGAGACTTTTCTGGGAAGGATTCAGCAAAGCCCACTCTTCCCGAGTGAAGTTCACATGCACATCATCATAAGTCACTACATTCTGAAATATCCCATACATGTGTGGAAAAGAAAGCATGAAAATGACAACCCTGTACATATATACTCCATTCAGAATATAGTCATGTATAGTTGTTGACACAGAAGTTCTAATGTAATCACGAAGTCATTTTAGAAGGCAACTGAATAATGAGGTTTACGTCTCTCATTTCTACTCCTTTGAAATAGGATATAGCCTAATAAGAGAAATGGCAATGAACAGAGAGGGGTGGTGGTTGGGGGGGATAGACAGAGAGAAATGTACTGAGCGCACATCAGACAAACTGTAAGAACAATTACTAACTACTAAAACTAACGGACAAGCCAGGTGTATTGTCTCAGGCAATGTGTACTAGGTCAGCCAGAGGTACATATTAGGACCCTGTCTCCTCTGCAAAAACCAATCAAAGAAACAAAAAAAGTAGATGTGATGTTCACAGATGTTCTTACAAAGAATAATATTTCATCTTCCAAAAACCTGAAGGGCCCCAGTTTAAACTATACAATTAACAAGATCTTACTAAAAAGGGAATGCATGTTTAAAGAGTAATAAATTGAAAAATAAAAATTAGCACTGAAAATTTTGATCATAAATAAACAACATAGGGCAGGAAGAATGGCTTAGCAGTGAAGAGCTCCTGCTGGTCTTGCGAATAATTTGGACATATTGCCAGTATTTACATGGAGGCTCACAACTATCCATTACTCCAAGTTGTGGGTATCTGAGACCATCTCTGACTCCTGTGAGGCACACATGCATACAGGCAAAATACTCATATTCATTCAAAACCTTCAAAACAAACAAAACTAGAGAAAGACTCATGCACCTGGAATGCAATGACTCCGAAGATTCAGCCAATATTATTGCTGTAAAGATATGCCATCCTGAGAAATAAAATATACCCTATGACAGATTTCAAAATTTAAAGGTGGATTTGGATGAAGATCAGAACAAGGGCATATGCTTGGTGGGAACAAAACCCTACATTTCAAGACCTATAGCCAATAATAGAAAAACGAAACAAAATGAAACAAAAGTCCCAGGCATGCCAGCCTATATTTAATCCCAGCACTGTGGAGCCAGTCAGGTGGGTCTCTAATTCCAATGCCTGTCTGACCTATATATCTACTTTCAGGACAGCCAGGTCTAAGCAAACAAACATTCTCTTCACTGTATGTATATGTATATGTATATATGTTAATGAATGAAATTAAATCTATAATAACATCAAACTACCAAATAGCTTAAAACTGAATAACACTTGCTTCTCATATTGTATGGTATTTAGTACTAGAGTCTATAATAGTTGAGGTATGACAGCACCAGAAGGCAGCTGACTTATTAGTTTCAATTATAACACAATAGACACCAAGATCAGAATATGGATTGAGTCCATAGATACTCCAATGCCATCTCCAGGAAAAATCTAGAAAGATTCCTCCTACCAAATCTTCCATAAACTCCACAAAGAAAAAAACACGTATTCAAAGGCATCCTATTATCTGGGAGCTTTTTGATACAATCAACTACATTCTAAAGCCTGTTACTATAGGCTCATGGTCATCCCATAATGAAAATGCATTTAGTCTTAATTCAATAGTACTCAGGGTATGCAACAGCTCCGATAATATTCAAATATCCAAAGTCTGTTTTGACACTAGATAATCTATTTCTTGCTACACCTTGTAAAATGAGAAAGCAAGTTACATCCTTAAAACACACCCTGGCACAGAATACACTGTCTAATTCCAATAGAGAACAATGTGTATAGTGAGGGAAGATTGGACCAAGATAGGAAACCCAGCAGGGCAAACACCGAATGTTGTCACTGACCTCAGACACATGTGTCTGTGGTTTCATAGGGCTTAGGGTTTCAGTTTCATAGGGCTTAGGTGGCCCTGAAACTGTAACTTCTCAGTTGGTTACTTCCATTATCTATATGTGTCTCTCCATGACAGGTGTCTCATTGCTTACTTATCTCAACATCTTGCGGTCCCAACTTACAACTCAGTTTTCCTCCTCACAGCTTCATGCAATGCACTCTCACAATATTCTCACTGCTGCTCTGACTCTGCCAAACTCAGCTGGCTGGAACAGTTTTGAATTGAAAGCACGGAGGAGAATCCATGACCTTGAGTTTTCTATCGTTCTTGTTTGAAGAATCAGAGCCACGTAAGCCACCTTGCTAAGTTTGGATAGACCCTGACGTTCTTGGACCACAGCTGCAGCACATTTCTGATGAAGTTCCTTCCTGAGAACGTTCTAAGGCTTGAATCCAAAGCAAGGGCCTTTTCTTTAATAGGGATAAACTCCTTGAAAATACCTGCCTCTGTTTTAGCACTTGACTGCCATTTGAAACTACACAGTTCTGTTTTACTCTACAAACCAGAATTTACATTTATTTCTGACCAATTGTTGTTCTAGTTTACAACTATAATCTTTAATGTAATCTTCACTAGTAATGTCCATCTAAATGATTCCATATTCCATCTAAGAAATCAGCACCCAATTTTCTAATTCTATCTTACTTATTTTCTTTCTTATCATGAACAAGATAAGAAAGATTTGGGATCACATTACCAAACAAATGACCTCTAGCTTAATTTCTCATGGAGTGTATTTTCCACTGAATCCTATGAACTCAACTTCCTCTAGGCACTACTCTCAACAGCAAATCTTCCACCAAATTCACACAGGAATAACAAGTGAAGGCAAAATGTGGCTATGAATTTGAAAGTAAGTAATAGTAAATGGGAGGTGAATAAAAAATAAAGAAAGGAAGGAAGGAACGTGATTACTCCTAAGTATGATGCAGTAATAATATTATTATATATAAAACAGAGAGCATACTCACAGTCTGGTACATCAGAGTGAGTTGAGAGTGGATATGACTCTGAGCCTTCTTAGAAGACAGAAAATAGAAGAGGAGAAAGCCAGACTAAGAGGCTAGGGTGGTAAATGATAAATTTAAAAAAAAAGTTAAACAAATTGTTTGAATTACATAAAGAAGGGCAAATGTGAGAAGGGCTACACAAATCTTGGGCTAGAGGACAGGGCATGCCAACCATTACCTTTGTAGGGAATAAGGTATGCTGGAACAACATGGTTGGCATAGCTGCTTTGATAGTTTAAATAGTCACATCAGCCTTTTTTTTTTCCCTAGGGACTGAGACTAAACAGTAAGAATGAGAATATTGAAATGATTGAACAATATTCTCAAAATGATTTTTAAATGCTGAGAAAGGATTTACGGTCCAGTTTTCTCCAGACTCTAGCTACACATGTATTAAGAGTACAGCATGTCTGACTTACACCTTTTCTCTCAGACTGTGCATTTTCAGACAGGAAAATAACATTCCTGCTAGACACAGCCACAATACTTTGTCAAGATCTTCTGTGTTGGTTGAATGAGTCTAACTACAACAACTTCATTTCTAGAGATAAGTTCAGGTTCATATACAGATTCCTGATTTGCCTGGCCAGGTTCAACTTCAGTGATTGTCCTCTATTGATTTTCTGATTACTCATTGCTAATGCCAACTGCCTTCAAAACAGGAAAGCTGTCACCTTCTTCCTCCACATCCTTTTCTCAATGACCAGTCATGGCCCAGCCTGGATGGAGCTGCAAGACAGTCTTCCAGGCACTGGGCAGCAGAGGCATGATTAGGAGTTCAAAACAATTCTCAATAAAAAATAGCATGAGGCAAAACTGAACTACAGAATATATTGCTATAAACTGAAAAAAAAATAATCAACATACTAGGTGTCATGTTAGCTACTGAGGTCTGTAATATGATCCACTCAGCTATAGCCAATGCTCTGTGTCTTGTATTCTTTATGTGACTGAACCGTGTCAATAAGGATGGGTCATGTCTGCAGTGCATTAAAGAATAGTCCCTCAATTGGAGATTCAGTATTCTTTGGTTCAACCTAACTTCCCTAAATTGTCCCTAATCTTGTCTGTTTTCATTTTGAGGCTTGAATGAATACATGGTAGGCAATCACAAAATCTCTCATCCCACCCCAGTCAGGTTTCACTTCATAATGGTGATGACAGTCACTGAATCCCTTACACTTTAGTCTGTGATCTATCTACTGTCTATCATGTTTCATTCTATAGGATACACAGTCATTTTTTTCCTCCTTTTCTGGTCTGAAGGACAAACACATGTTCCACATGCAAATCTTTTTCTTGTTACTACAATGGAAACCTCACTAAATGACTTAAATGAGTAATTTCAAAACTCTTTTGTGGTCCAGCATTTAACTGAAGAATTTAGGAATTTTAATCAAGAGGAAGGCAAGGTCATTTTTCTGGGGAGCAAAACACTGGAATCCATGTTTTGACCTAAGGGAACAAAGGTTTTCTTAGATTTTTTTTTTCAAAATGCAAAAGGTGTGGCAGTTCCAAATGTAATATGCCTTACCAGGGAATACCCACTCCACATACATGTAAAATATTAAGTAAGAAAATTCTCTTTAACTGTAGCATGTATCCAGCTCTAGTTCATACTAAAATAGAAGACCGCTTTTAGGATTTTGGAACTAAACCTGCTCCTGGGTGGTCCAGCAACTTATGATGTCACCATATTGCCCGCCAGGTGGCCACACATTGAAGACATAGTTCCCTTGCTTCTTAAAGGGAAAAACCGACCCATACATGGTCCCTCTCTTGGTCTCTCTTCTCTTGTCCCCTCTTACTCTCCCCTTTGTCCTTCGAGGCACCCCCCTCTCTCTTTCTACCCATCATGTCCTGCTCTCCCTTCTCTCTTCATCTCCATCTAATAAAACTCTTTCATATAAAATCTGTTTGCAATTGCCATTATTTAAGTCATCCCCATCATTGGTGCTGAAACTGGGGGGGGGGGAGGAGTCGAGGGGGTGGAATCCCCTGGCTTTGCCAGAACCCTTTTGGACTCCTCTGGGACAAAATGGATGGCTAAAACAAATTCCTTTCTGCTCTATGTAAGCCTAAAAAAAATTTACTTTTCCTCAACTGTCTT